CGTACGCACACGAAGCTTACTAATACCCATGCACCGCACACACGGGCAGCACGCACGCAACGAACGCACAATACACCACACACGCACAACACCAACCTCACGCACACAGCCTGCCAATCATTGGTTTCTGAAAATTTGTGTTTTTCGGACTGTTTTCTACCCAAGGGCCAAAACGTATCGCTGCAGCGCGTCCGTGTACACCCACAGCGCGAGCCGCACACACACATGCACGCACACACACAATACACGCACGCCACGACGGCACATTACGCATACGTCACACGCACACACACTGCACGCACGCACGCACGCACGCACGCACGCACGCACCACACACACACCACACGACCCACACACAAACAGTGGAGTGAATTGGGATGAATGCCAATCTATATATGCGAACAGCTTTATGCTTTTGATGCAATAAGTGCAGTGAATTGTATAATTCGGCGCACTGGGAATCTTCATTATTGGGCGAGAAAACGTTGTAATTGTGCAACAGTTAAAAAACATGACAGGATCGAAAACCACCCATCACTCTAATCTTTCTCTCTCGTTCTTTATCGCTTCTTGCTCTCTTCTCGCTGTATATCTGCACTTTACTCTCTTTCCTCTCTCTCTCTTTATTGCTGTCTCTGCTGCCGCTCGTCTCTCTCTCTCTCTTCTCTCTCTCTCTCTCTCTCTCTCCTCTCTCCGCTCTCTTCCTCTCTCTCTCTCTCTTCTCTCTCTCTCTCTCGCTCTCTCTCTCCTCTCTCGCTCTCTCTCTCTCCTCTCTCTTCTCTCCTCTCTCTCTCTATCTATTTCTCTCGCTCTCTCTCTTTCTCTCCGCTCTCTCTCTCTCTCTCTCTCTTCTCTCTCTCTCTCTCTCGCTCTCTCTCTCTCTCTCTCTCTCTCTCTCTCTCTCTCTCTCTCTATCTATGCTCTCTCTTCTCTTTCTCTCTCTCTCTCTCTCTCTCGCTCTCGCTCTCTTCTCGCCCTCTCTCTCGTCCTTCTTCTCGCTCTCTCTCTCTCTCTCCCTCTTCGTCTTGCTTTTCTCTCCCCTCCCCTCTGCTCTCCAGGTATTAAGTTACACACACACGCACACTACGCACACACGACACCAAAAAAGGGCCGGGCGGGCGCACCACAGCGTACCACGACAGCACGCACATAGCACCTGCGCGCGGCGGGCGGCGCAGCAGCGAGCACAAGTCGCGCACATACGCGGCACCGTAGCGCCCGCGCGTCGCGCGACACACACACACACGCACTGATAGCACGCGCGGCGTGTGAGTCGTGGCTAGACGCACATACGCGCGCGTGCACACCACACAACAACACGCACATTCACACGCGCGGCAGCACACACGCCACAACACGACCGCTCGCAACTACACACAGCGACATACATACAGCACACACACACACATCACAACATCACATACTTAATCGCTTATCTTGCACGCACACACACACACACACATGATCACACGCACACACGCACGCACACTATAATCGCAGGCACAGTCACGCTCAACGCATCACAAATAGCACGCACATGGGTTCAGTACATCGCCACGAGTGCACGCACCAGCACATATACAGCGTGTACCACTCCACCACACGCAACGCACGCACGCACACACACACACACACACACACACACACACAAACACGCAGCGCACGCACGCACGCTACGTCACAGACGCACGAGTTCGATTTATGGCGCTGCAACACGAGATAGTTATAATGCCGACATGTGAAAGCAATACAGTCAGTCATACACTTTAATTAATGTAACGCTGCGCTTTGATGAAACTGTATATCCGTTTGGTACCGACCTGACACCATGGTACCACCCTCCCCCTCTCTCCCTCCTCCTTCTTCACCCTGCCTTGCGATCCTTGTTTATCTGTTCATTAACACCACCTATCCGTCCCTCTTCTCCCCTTCGCTCCTCGGGCCTCTCTACCCTGTCTGCCTCCTCGCGCGCTCTACCCTGTCCGCTCCCCCTTCTACCCTGTCCGGCTGTCCTCGCGCCTGTACCCTGTCCGCCCCTTCCCTCCTCCTCCCCTGTGCCGCCTCCTCCCCCCTCTGCCTGTCGCCTCCTTCCCCTCTCCCTGTCCTCCTTCCCCTTACCCTTCCGCCTCCTTCCCCATCTCCCTGTCCTCCTTCCCCTTCTTACCCTGTCCGCTCCTTCCCCTCTTACCCTGTCCGCCTCTCCCCTCTCCCCTGTCCTCCTTCCCCTCTACCCATGTCTGCTCTCCTTCCCCTCTATCCCCTGTC